GAGATGACTCAATAGAAAATGAGGGAGTGAAAAAGAGTGTTTTAGGCAGAAGGAACAATATGTGGAAAGACTCAGAAGCAAGAGAAAGCATGTGGTTAGAGAGACTGATATAGGTGTGATGTGCTGGATCATAGATGGAGGACCGACATATAGAGAGAGATGAGGCTGGAAGAATAAGCAGAGGCCATAGCATAAGGGGCCTTCTAGAATGCCATGTTAAAACATTTGGATATTTCTCAAAAATAAGAGAAAAACATGAAACAATTCTGAGAACTAATATAACCAAATAGGCTTCAGTATGAAGAGAATGGAGATGGACAGGACTTTTCAAATTGATTAAGGAAAAAACAAAAACTACACACAACTAAAATAACAGACAACATTCAATGTTAGGAAGAATGCAGGCAAGTGAGCATTGTCCATGTTGGTAGGTACAGACTAGTATAACCTTTTGGAGGGTAATATCTCAGGGCTTATCAAAATTGCATACACACATACCCTATAAACAAGTAATTCTTCTTGACTCCTCCAGGAGTTAACCCTGAAGAAATAAGCTTTCTGAAGCAATGACTAAAAATAGCATCATGGCTAAGAGCACAGATTCTAGTGTCACATAGACCAAGGTTCCAATTCTGGCTCTGCCATTTACTAGTTGTATGGGGAAACTACGATCTCCTTTAGTCTCCAGTTTTTCTTCTGCAAAGCTTTTAGTATTGAGAAGGTCAAATTAAATAATAAAAGTATTGCACTTAGCACAGTATCTGATAAGTATGCACTTTAATAAAGGTAGCCATTAAATAGTAAGGTCAGCAGAGCCTGAAATCAAAATAATAATTGTGATAGGACTCTCACTGTCAGGGAATGAAGTTACAAACATGGAAATTTCCCAAATAGCAATTTTTTAAAACAATACAAAATTCTACTTTGTTTTGTCATATAAAGAAAATCTTTCCCAATTTCTAAGTTTTGTAAACAAAGGCTAAGAGCAACAAGCACTGAATGTGTAACAATGTCACATTTGTTTGATACACTGGAATAAAATCAGTTTACATTTCGGCATGTATCTCTCTATAATACCCTACTACCCTCCCTAAAGATCTACCCACAGATACAACTTTTCAGAGAATATCCTTAGAGATGATGCACAAACCTTTTCCATCTCGAGGAGGAGCTCCCTTCGCTTTAAAACTATCCACTGGTGCCTTTGAATCTGTTTCCAAAGCAATGCTTATCTGTATCTCAGACTTGAACTTGGTGTATTTGTTACTCAGTAACGGGTACCATTTTGGTGCCTGGAGATTAGCAACAAAACATTTTAACAGTTAATAGAAAATAAACAGTAATGGGAAATGTTCTGTAAGGCTATAAATATATTTCCTATAGTTTCTTAGTACTTTTGCCTGTTTTTAATTTAATTTTTTTTTTCATTTTCCTCAAAAGAAATTAATCCTGCTTAGGAAGCTAACTGAATTTCCTCTTGAAGTAGAAGTTTAGAAAGCCTTCTGTGCTTCTATTCCTATGCTTTAACAAGTAATATATTAAAGAGAAGAAAACACAATGTATTTCTTCCTATTTTTACTCTATGTGCCCAATCGCACTTCATCCCTTAAAAAACAGAAAAGACCAATTTTACATTTCCATAACCCCTAATTTTTCACTTTTTCTGTTATATCTTTTCTGTCTGCCACATTTCTGCTTTGTTCTGTTTATATCAGATGAGGAAAAGAAAAGCTTTGTGTTTATAAAAACAGTAACAAAATCTAAGTAAAGGTCTAATAATGGTTGAGTTCTGGGCTCTGAATCATGTACATGACTGTTATTAAAATATAAATAAAGGCTTTCTCACAGAACCTTAGAAATTCTAGTACCCAAACCAGCCTTCAAAACCTCATGGCCCAAGACCACGCATGTCATGTGCAGGAACCACTCACTGGTCAGCAGAGGCACCATTTCAATACCTAGAAACAACATTCTTAGTCTGACCGCTGTTTTATAAACGCACAGTAACTGGTGCTAATACTGATTAAAACCAAAAACTGCTGTTTTATATTCAAGTTCTGTTTGATAAAAAAAAAAATAGGATTAACTAGGCCACAGGTTTAAAAAAATTCACAATCAAGTTATTTTTTTTAAGGCAAAACTTCCTAATTTGTTGTGGTACTTTCATGTTGCACTTCTTATAACACAATTTTTTGTTTGTTGTTATACTTATTTTCTAATTTTAAGCATAAGCCTGAAAAAAAAATTCATATCTACTTGATTTTATGATATATTTCTGTTATATAACTTAGAAAAATAAATCTGGATATTTCTATGTTTCCATTTATTTACAGAAAATCAAATTATTTTTATCTTAAAATATTCTACCAGCAAACTTCAAATATTTCTGCTGGCAAACAAAAGAATTAAGCAAGACAACAATTGGTTTTCCTAAAACTAATGTAATTTTCAAACATTTTTCCTTAACTTTGATTACAAATATGGCAAACCGTCAAAATGAACAAGACAAGGGAAAAAAGAATGCCAAGAGTATTTAGAGGGGTGATCTCCTCTCAGGCGTCCTCCTTTTAAGAGGACTTACCTTCTCTATCACTGAAGTGACTGCCACAGACGTGTCTTCTAGACACTTGCAAGTTGCAGCAGAGAAGTTGGGTAGGAGAAACACCAGGGGCACAAAAGAAAGAAATCCTTTTTAGGGCCTAGGACAGATTGGTGATGAGTACCCAAGAATTGGGGATAAACAAGTCTTCCTTTAAAGCATTTTTAAAATTTCAGTTTCTTTTGAATGATTCCAAATTTGGGCCCGGCTCATTTGCAAATATCGCTGTTAGCAGCAGCAAACATCTTAGTAACAGATACGCTGTTATTCACAGAATCCTAGCTTAAGATTCAAATCAAGAATAGAGAATTTTAAAAGATATTAATTTTTAAAATTTATTTTCTTAAAAACATTGTGACAAAACAAAGACATCAAGAAAAACTAAAAGCAAGCCATGTCTGAAGTCAGTAATGTACAAAAAGGTGGGAAGATACTCCAAAAGACATAAAGAACATTTTCAATAGCACTTACAAAGGAATCAGGACCCTGAGTTTTCCTCCACGCCCCCCTTCCTTCCTTCCTTCCTGTGTGTGTGATGGGGGGAAGGGGAGACATAGCGAAGCACTTCACTAAGTTCACTTACTCTGACTACTATGTACCAAACACAAGGAGCAGGGAGCAGGAAACCAATTAGAAGGCTACTATGATAGCCAAGGTAAGAAATGATGGTGGCTTAGGTTTAGCAGGGAAAATGCCAAGTAGTAGATGGGTCAGGAAAGGGGAAAAACCAACTGGAAAGAGTGGCTATGGAGGCAGGAAGAGTGGAGTCAAGAAATCAAGGAAGACTTCTATATTTCTAGCTTGCATAACTGGACAGCGAGTGCTGACCATTCACTGAAGCAAGGAATGCTAGAAAGGGACCTTTGAAAGCCAAGCTCAGGAGTTGCACATGCTAAAGCTCAAGGTTATAGCAACCTGGACACAGGTACCAGCTCAAGAGAAGTTTCTTTGAGAAAGATACTTCTAGGTCAAAGAAATGATTAGAAGGTCAGGGTTTTCTATATCACATTCATAAACTAAAACGTAAGAACTGCCATAATGGCTGAAACCCATGATCTATAAGGTCCAATATCCCATGTTCTTTCCATCAATCTGCTACATATTGAAAATATTCAACTGTCTAACATAACAAACATCAAAAGGGCAGTACCTGCTTTGTCTCTTGAGCAGCTCTTAAGTCTAGAAGAATGTAACCTATAGTTTCCTTGGCTGAAGACACAGGATCCAAGGCAAAACACTGGAGTTTGATAGGAGTACGTTGTAGCCTATAACATAACAATTTATATAATAAATAAAATAGCTTTTACTTACTATTGAACTGACTTTCTATTTCCCTTTAAAAAGTTGCCTACTTTCAAAACAACTAAAATTTTGTTGGATAACTGATATCTATCCCATATTTTCTGAAAAGCTCTTCAAGTGGCAAGAATTACTAATTATATCTACTTATAGATATACCAACTCAGTAATATACTCATACTAACATGTAAAAAATCTTAATCTCTCTCATTTAAGAGGCTGTCATTTAGGTCAATGTTTCTCAAGCTTCTGTAATGCACAGAACTCTTTTAAGTCAAAAATTACCATGAGTCCTTAACATTTATTTTAAATTGTTTTTCTTATACTGTCACACACATAAAACTACAAATATACATACATGCTTACAGCTCTTTTTTTGGCTAAAAATGGAAATAAACTAAAAAATGAAATACCATAAAATCATAAACTATTAAAATTATGTTAACAATAATTTAATGTAATACATGACAATGTTCTGTAAGCATGATCTTGACTGGCATAGCATGATTTTTCTGAGTCTGGAACCCCTCTACTGGCTCTTGTAGAAAGCTGAATAGATTTTGCCATCACTTTTACCTAGTGGAATGACTAGGGAACCTGCACTTGGCACAAAAATCATCATTTATATATTTAGTTTATCTGTGTTATTTTCTTAGCCTACAAATTCAGAGTGGTACCACTGGACAGTAACACAACTGTACAGACCACCACCAATGCAGGTGCTAACATCTATCAGTTCTGTCTAGGCAGATAATCCAGAAGTTATTTGAAAAAATAAAAAATTTTGATATTCTTTAAGAATTTAATACCTTTATAAATAAACCCATGGAATGACCTAGCAATAGAAGAAAATAAATTTTTCCTTGCTCTCATTTTTTTAACTTTGCATTTTGATTTGATTTAGTATTCAGAAAGAGCAAGTAATAAAGTAATTTTGTGTTTCCCAGAAAGAAATATATTTTCAATCCTTTTTAAAATAAAAGTATCAGTGTTGTTGCCTGCTTTTGGTCATCAGCATTCATGAAATAAATAAGAGGCTATTACTTTAGGTCTGCTTTTATATACCAATAAAGTGTTTAAATGTTTAAAATCAACTGCAAAATTAATTAGAAAGAGTCCCTTATATAATTATACTATATACATATCTATATACCTTTGGTAGGCCAGATAAAATATAAATAAATTAATATAAATTACAGTGAATTCCAAAGCATATTTAATATTAATTAGGCATTATTATAGGACTTCTTGAATAGAATATCTATTCTCTCATACATTAGAAAATATAAAAGCTAGGTGAAGTGACTAAAAGCTTAGGCTCTACAGTTGCACTACCATTATCCAGCTGACTAGCTTTAGGCAAGTTGTTTTAACCCTTTAGGCCTGTTTTCTCATCTGTAATATGGGGGAAATAATAATACCTACTTCATAGGTTTGTTCTGATTTTTAAATGAATTATTGTTTGCAAAGGACTTGCCAAATTTTCCGACACATTAAAAAGCAGTCAACAAATATTATTGTTATTATTATAATCTAATGAGATATAGAAATTGATTTATTTATAACAGCCTGAAAAGACCATAACAAATTGAAAATAGCAGTCACCTATGTTGATGGAGTGCTTTCCGGTCGATTTCCCAGGCTAACTCCGTGGCAAATTCTGGCTGGTTAGTATGGTCCACAGGATCAGTAGCCAACTGTTCTCCATCAAACTTTGCTTCTACTATAAGCATATGCTTTGGACGTTTGGGGAAATGGCGACCTGGAAAAAGACTATACAGGTTAATCAGAAGTACACAAAAATTAAATATGATCACTTAGCATGTATTTTAAAAACTGATATACATTAAGAGTGGTTGACGTAAAATATTCCACAAACTACCTTGCTAACGTTTACATATACACTCAAATTCATGATTCGTAAGAAACATGAATTAAACTGAAAACTATGATTTATAAACTAGTGCTTCTCAAATATTCATGTGCCTATTAATCACCCAGGGACCCTGTATAACTATAGGTACTGGTTCAGAGGTCTAGGGTGGGCTTGAGAGTCTCATTTCTAAAAAGGTCACAGGTGATGTCAATACTGTTGTCCTTGGTTCACATCCTGAGCAGGAATGATCTCAATAACATTTAGAGATCAAGAGTTAAAAATGTGATTACACCAAGTTTTAGATGTTACTATAACAGCACTTCATACAGAACAGTCATCTGGAGAGTTGGGAAATAATCAAATTAGCAAAAACAAATTTACCTGCATATTAATTTTCCTGTTAACACGGTTAAGAAAATTTTGCAAATTAGCTAAAGAAAAATAAACACATGTATTCATTCATTCTACTTTTAAGAACAATGCTGTATATTTGCAAGAACTATTAAAATATTCTATTTATACGCATCACTTTTCAAAATTTGCACTGCATGACCCCATTCTTTCACTGTTGATTGAAGGCATATTCAGAGTCAGGTATTATGTCAGATGATAGGATGCAAAAAGAATAAAACAGTACTTTCCCCTCAATGAAGAGAGAGTCTAGTGGAAAGAAACAAACTTAAAACACTGAAAACAGAAAGCTAAAGAACTAAGGAAGAAGCAGCAAGAATCTTACTGCCAACCTGTTTACAGTTCTGGTGAGCAGAACCTTGGTAAGGGGAGTTATAACCACTGTTAAGTAAATACATCCCTGCTGCTACCCACCCTGGCAAAAGCTTAGTTAGGAATTAAGCTAGTCAGAAAGACCTTGATTGAAAACCAGTAAGTTTCACTGGAGGCTTTTATTGAAACTCCCTAGTAGAAAACTTGCCACTTTTGGCCCGGCTTTCCCAATTAGCACTCACAGAGGCTTCTCTCTGGACCTCATTTTTCAGCTGCTCTAAAAAAAAAAAAAATCACTAGGTTCCCCAAATGAATTTCACGTATGTCAAAAAACCTATTATTTTCAGACTATCATAACTATAACCTCCAATAAGCTTGAGAACAGAAGCTATGCAGTGAAGTAAACAGGTGCATGCCTCATCCCAAAGACAAGGAATAGCCTGAGAACAGAAGCCTTGTCTTTTTCATCCTTAAAACCCACTACATGGTCCAAATTTTGCTCATGGTAGAAACCCAATCATTTTCTTTTGAATAAAGGGCATTTCTAGAAGTGCAGTCAAGAAACTGCAAGTAGCTCAATATAGTTGAAGAGCTGGGAACATATGAATAGGGGGTGGGAAGGGAGATGAGACTGAAAAGGTAGGTGAGCGGTCTGCCAAAAAAGGGTATGCTATTCTAAGTATAGACATTATTCTTTAGGACACCGAATGATTTTTAGAAAATTAGATGTGCTTTTTAGCAAGTGTATCCCCAGACAGTAATGTGGACAGATATTTCTAAAAAGGAAGAAAACATTTATGAAACAGACTACTGAAAAGATTATTACAATAGATTAAGTGGACAATGAAGGCCTCAAAGCAAGGCACTCACAATGGAAACTCATTCATTTAAAGATTATATGAAACACTTGCTATCGTTTTAAAAATAAAATCAGCAACACTTGGTGATGATTTGGAAGTTGGGGATGGAGAGGGAATCCAGGAAGAGGAAAACTCCCAGGTTCTTAGCTTGAGGAAAAAGCGTGGTTATGATGGATAGAAATACAAACACAAGACAGGAACAGTTTGGAGGGAGGACCACATGCTATTATAGTTTTAGACATGTTTGTGGCAACACCTAACTGACATCCCTGACTCCAGCTTCTCCTCCCTGCACACTGCTACTAAACTAAACTTGCACAAAACTTTATCCTACTTGGGAATATATGCTGCCTCCCTATTATTGACAACATTATTTGGCTTTCAAGATCCTCCAAGGCCTATTCGCTCTATAGTCATACAAGCTTATTTCTCAACATGATATTCCTATATATTCACTTTCCTCTGCCCTGAACATCTTGCTAACCTCTTCAGTGTTCCATCCACCATGCTCACGCCCACACCGTCCTGGGTTGTCCAACTACCTGGAATAACTTTCTTCTACCCTCCATCTAAAGCCTACTTACCATTTAAGGCACTTCAGCCATCAACCCCACGCACCCCCCAAAACTATGTTTACAGCCCATATCACATATTTTAAATATTATATCACAACATAGTATGTCCTACACATTAACTTGATCTTCCCAACTAGACAAAACCTAAAATCCTTGAAGGGAGCAATAGGGCACAGCTCTAAGTCCAAAAGCTTTTGTTAACAAAATTATAATGGGATTTCAGTCTTATGTCTTTAAACAATCAGTAACCTAACAGTTAAAACTGCCCCAACGCTTTATGGCTTCTGGTCATTCTCCTGTTCCAAAACTCAAAAATTAGGTTTGCAATGTTTCCTTACCCCCCAAAAGTGCCAGGCCTCCACAAAATACCTCCCATGTAAAAAAAAAAAAAAGCCAGTCATGCCTCTGGCTCACCCAACATGGCTCCTCCTTGTATGTTATTCATAACCTGTCCTCAATTTACCTTCAACTCCTACACTCTCCACTTCCCGCAATCTGCTCTCCAACCACGCGGAATTTCAGCATCACAGTATTTGCCTTGCTTTTCCATAACTTAAGTGCCCTCTGCGTTCCCCTTTGCCTGGGATCCCCTTCCTTTTTTCCGCCTGACAAACTCCTAATCATCCTTGAGGACCCAAATAAATGTCACCTCCTCGGAAAACTGTCCCCACACAGAGGTGGTCATTCCTTCTTCCTCACCTTGATGAATTACTTGTTGACACATTCTCCATGCTACGCCCTCAGCTTTTAGAACCAGGCAGGGCTGTTTCATTCTTACATTCCCAGCACAGTGCCTGACACTCAATGAAGTCTCCAACAAACCACTGGCAATCATTCAACAAACTAAACTGCAAAGCGTGTAGAGCAGACCCTCTTGACAACCGTGGTCCTGTAAGTCCTCCAAGACTTGCAAAGACTCCGCAATACTCTGAAATTGCAGGAAACGTGTATCCGAGTCAAAGGAACATTCTTGCAAATTGGTGTTACCGGGAGGTCGCTGAGCAGAACGTGCTTTCTAGGCCCACGTTCAGCTCATATATAAGTCATCGACATGCTGCTTTTGCTGGAAATCGTTTTTTCTACACTCTCTGGGGCTAAAGCTAGTCACGCTAAATATCACCTAACCTTAATAGCTCTCATACTCCCTGGAGAGATTTTTAAATCAATTGCCTAACAGACCTCACCACGTACAACTTTGAACAAGTCTTTGGGGACTACAAAAGAAAAGACGACAAGGTTCTTAAGGTTCACAAAGCCTCGTTCCCACACCACTCTTTAAAATTCAGGAAGCAGCTGCTGCAAAAGCGAGTCCTGGGACGCTCACCTTCTAGGATGGACACGACGATGAGCAGTTGGTCGGACTTGGAGACCATGGTTGCGGTCTGCGGCCCGCAGGCGGGGTCTGCTGGGGGAAAGAGGGACCCGGGTGAGTGTCGGGTAGCCCGTGACCCCCGGCGGGGCTGCCGGCGGGGCTCCCGCCGCCCGCTCCCGGCCCCTGACGTCCGGACCCAGCTCAGCGGCCCGGTCCTGCTGCCTCCTGCAGCGCGCCCGGCTCCCTTGCCACCGGCCGCCAGCCCAGCTCCTAACCCTGCCCGGACTCCAGGCAAAAATCGCTGTGCCACCCGGCCCGGCCCGTCTGCAGGTACAGGCGAGCCCGCCGCCTGAGGACCTTTTGCCGCCGGCGCAGCCGCTTTTTCAAACGCCCCGGCAGCCGCAGCGGCCACCGCCGCGCCCCGCTTCCGCCTAGCAACCAGGCCCACAGGCCTAGCGGCCCCGGGAGGCTGGAGGACAAAGGGTCATAGAGAGCATGGCAGTGGAGGATAGAACGCCCCTCAGCCTGCTTCGCCTCCTGCCCTTTTACGCTTCGTTCCAGAGCCCTAGGGCGAAGAGTAGTCCATCACCTCACAGCGCCCCCTACTAGTTGGACGGGGGAAGGCGGGCGATTTAATGGGAACCAGCCGCGCAGGCGCACTGCTGCAGAAAACGCTTCCCGAAGTTCCCCTAAAAGGAGTGAGCGTAGTTTATTCTCTGGTGTATACCCCAGACGCTACCTGGGAAGTATATTAATAGAGATTTTTTAAAAAGGCTAGCTCCGTTCAGATCCCAGTGTCGGCACCGCTTAAAAATCAAATCCCAAAAAAATAATGACTTAAGTCTGAACTCTAAAATCCCTAAATTGTCGTGGCGCTGCACCTCAAATGTGTACGCATTAAAAACAAGTAGTGTCAATACGGTAATTACTGTAACTGTTGGTGGTGACGTAAGCTCCCCAAGAATTTCCTGTACAGCAGAAATTACTCTAAAACAAAAACATTGTCACGTGGGCAGTGAAATTAAAGGTATAGGTTCTTCTATCCCTGACCACGAAGTAACCAAGTAGCAAAATCAAGACCAAAAATTAAACAAGGCTGTCAACCGACATTTTTCCATTTACATTCCATCGTCCCCCCATCAAAAAAAAATACAAAAAACAAAAAAAAAAAACACCAGGCTTTAGGAAAGAGTATGAATTTTTTGGAGGTTATCTAGCTGGGAAGTGAGGAGGAGGATAGAACAATCCATCCGTCCCCTTACCCCTTTGTGCCCAAAAGAAAAGGAGGAGGGTGTGGAGAATTGGATTAGATTACTTCTAAGACCCTTTCAGTCCCCTTCAGAGGCCTTTCTGAAACGAGGTATTATGCAATTTAAAATCAAAGTAATGATCTACTTTGGATTCATCGTTAAACAGTGCATTATTTTGTGGAAGATGTCAAACAAACTCAGAAGTAGACAGAATAATATGAACCTGCAGGTGCCCAGAACACAGATTCAACAGTTACCAACCAAAGATCAATTATCCTCACCTGTTGCATTATTGTGAGGGAACCCCCAAACAGCATATCAGTTCATCTCTTCCAACATGTACCTCTAAAAGATAGACTTTTTTAAAAATCTTAAAATATTAGATACTTAACCACAATTCCAGCATTATACCTAAAAGTTAACAATAATTCCTTTATACAATTAAATAGACACTTTAAATTTTCTTGATTGGTTAATAATTTGTTTTTTAGTTGGTTTGTTGGCGTCAGGATCCAAATACATTCCAAAACACAATGCATTTAGTTGGTCTGTTTCATCTCTTTTAATCTATAGGTAGGTACTCACTCTCATATATTTTTTTCCTTGAAAATTTATTGAAGCAACTGGTCATGTATCCTATAATTTACCACAGTCTAAATTTTGTTGATGCAATACCACTGATGTTATTTAACATATCCTTTGTTGAAAGGTCCAGTAAATATGTCCACACTGACAACGCTAAAGAAGATTAGCAAACAAATCACCACCAACAAGCAAAATACAAGGTTATCAGTGGTGTAACACATTACTTGACATTAAACTCTACTTTCCAAAGAGAGGCCACAGCAATGAAACCAGTGTCTCCAATGGAAAGAATACTCCAGGAGATCATGGTTTGGGACCTACCTCTGCCATTTACATGCTGGGTGACCTTGGTCAAGTCATTTTACCTCTTTGAGCCTCAGTTTCAGCTTTACAATGGTAGTATACATGATTCCTTAGTTCAGAACTTAAATATAGCAAATGCCATTTAGTTATTATCTTTTTATATGAACAATCTCAGATTAAGTAGTAGTTGTAAAAGAACTAGGAACTGCCATCAATATACCTTGTTGTTTTGTTTTAGGATACCCAGCAGGGCTTAAAATCTAGTTTATAAACCATCACTAAACGCCAGAGAATAAACTCAGGTGAGAAAAAAAAATCTGACAAGTCATTAAAATTAACTAAGAATCTTTTTCACATAGTAAAATATCACATAGTTTCCTTTATCTGGAGTCTCCCACCTTCCAAATGACGCTATTACAGCACTTATAAAATTATCTCATCACAGCCGCTGAAAAGTCATCAACTTAGCTGGCAGGGTGTTATTTCTTTTGTTTTGTTTTTAACAGATTGTACAAAATTAATGGCATGAAACTCCCATCTACCTCATCTAGAAATGGAATTATAATTCCAGCAGCATCTATAGCCTCTTTATTTGTTGTTCCATAATCTAATTTCCTTTCATATGTGATATTAAACAGTAGTAAATTCAGTTCAACATAGATCATTGTATTTTAGCTTAAATTCATGAGAAAAATCTGTTATAAGTTTATGAAGCATCAATTACTGTTTCCAAATATATAAGTAAATGATAATAAAATACAAAATTTTTGTCTATTAGACAATGTGAGATTCATCACACCATAAACATGCATATTCAAGCTGGCAAGTTTGATCAAATGCTTGATTCTGAATTCATTAATTTGCCAGCCTAAAAGCTTATCATATTAGGTAGCTTTCTATTTCCATGAATTGACACACACACACACAAACACAAAGCATTTTGACCCATTTTAAGCCTTTCTTTTTCTGCAGCTATTTTGAATTTTGGAAAAACACTCTATTTGTAGTATGTCCCTATATTTTTTATCTTTTCAGCAACTTCTGTGGCCCAACACAAGAGGGATCATAAGCTGTATTTGGCTTCCTCAGCCCCTTTCCTCTTCTTGTCCCCTCCCTGTCACACACACACACACACACACACACACACACACACACACACACACACTTTAAGGCAAGCCCCTGGGGTTCATAAAATTAACACATCTATTGAATAACTGCTGTTTGTAAAAGTATGGTGCCAGACCCTGACCTTTAAGAAGTGTTTGGAAAATAGCCTCCTTCTGGAAGACAAAGCAGGACTGGAGAAAGTAACTATTATATTATTCAGTTAGTGCCAAGGTGATTTGACTTCCAACAGGATGCGATCTCATTAAACTTGGCAATTAATTTGGGCGCCTGTAATCCCTTGAAGAAGGACCGCAGATGTCGATGGTAAGAGAGGCAGTGTAGCCCCGTAGCTGAGTCACACATACCTGCATTGTAAGGTCCACAACTTTTAGCTTTATGACTTGGCCAAGTCAGTTTTCTCTGAACCTCACTTTTTCCATTGGTCAATAGGAATAATAGTCCTTACCTCACACGGATGTTGCCAGGATGAAATGGCATCACTTTTGGGAGGGGGGCCTAGGCTGTGATGAAATCTCTGAATGAGGTTCACTATTTTAATTGTTAATGTGGAGGGATAATTTATTCTGGTATTATTTTGTGATTTGTTGCTTTTTGAGTCCTGCAAAGATTACCAGAATCTTATTTATACTCACTCATCTTGGCCTGTGCATATGTTCTAGGGGTGAAATCCTCCAAACAGCCCTCCTCCCTGGCTGGTGTGAAAGACCACAGCAGAGCATCCCAAAGTCAAACTCTCTTCAGGTCAGGCGGGTGCTGTTAACTGGCTAGTGAAGTGGCCTGGGCCGAGCCTGAGCAGAAGCAAAGCATTGTGGTTGTCTGAAGGGACAGCCCTTCTCTGCCCCAGCTGGTTACTGCCATGCAGTAAAAGCCAGTTTTTCCCAAATTTCCTCAAGAAACTAGAATTGTAGATTTTTAGGAGAACTCATCCAATTTTTAAATGCTGGTAACTCTAATTTTAGTTAAACAACAACAACAACAAAACACTGTACGAGCCAAACTAAAACCTCTGACAGCTACAGGTTAGCTACCCCTGGCCTAAATTCACTAAAGTAATTATAATAGACATCCCTGAAAAGTAAAGTAGTAAAAGTAGTAAGAAAAGAAGTAGAGATTGCCTAAAAGTGGGAAGAAGAGGGCTGAAGGCGAGAGTGATGGGGACCCACATTTCATTCCCTGGCAGAATCTTTGGGGGGGAACAGAAAAAGGGACTGGCTCCATGGGGTCCCTAGGGAAATGAGCCTTTAGGCCCCAATTTATCTTCATTTGCATGGGTTCTTACACCCCTAATTTGACATAGAATCCACAAACTCACTAGACTTCAAGGCCCACGGAAGCTTGGCTAATGGACAGCTTCAGGGGCCAGTACAGGCAAAAACTTGCACGGCCTTCCCAAATATTTGCTTTGTGTGAGAACCCCAGCACCTCTGCACAACACTGTGTGTGTGGAGGATGGAGCCCCAATGATGACTGAGATTGAATTGCCTGTTTCCTGTCTGAAGGAGCTTGATGTTGAATTGAAGAATCTAAAGAAAAGCAACACTTCTTGCACTCCCTCCTTTGTGGCCAAAGCTGGGATGAGCTCTGAGTCATCCTGTCATGGGGTGTGTCACAGCGGCTCTCTCTGAGGTAAAGTATAGAAGATAGGAGAACGCTCCCTGCTCTACAAAGACTAAACGAGCTGGAGACTCTTCTGGAACTGTGGCAAAGGGCTGTAGGCCATCAGAAAACGCTGTTCAGTTTTGCTGTGGAAACACTATATGCCGTCCGTCAGTCAAGTGTCCACAGACTAGATGCAGAGACTCTGGAGAGTGCTTCATTTTAGGGGCAGAGGGTAGAACAGAAGGTAGAGACTTAGGTGAAAGACCCATCCCTATAATCCTGTGACACTGAGAAACACTATGTAACATTGTGGGACTTTGGTTCACCTATTATGTAACGTCTGATGTGTGTCAATTTTTTTTTCCTACAAAAATACTTCCTTTTGAAACACTGAAGCCAATAATGGAGGAAGAGCTGGTGCCAGCCTACTCAGCTGTCTGGTGGAGAAATTTCCCAGGCTTCTGAGCGAGCATTTTGGCCCATAGAAGTCTGACCCATCAAATGGCAACAAGGAGCCTTCTGCACAAGCTATCTCTGGCACAAGGGTTCTAGTAAATGCTGATATTCCAAGTATACTCAAAGGATATAAAACTCTTCTCTACCTCTACGTT